AGCCTAGCTCCGTGTCCAGCAGCCCAGCTCCGTCTCCAGCAACCCAACTCCATCTCCAGCAGCTTAGCTCCGTGTCCAGCAGCCCAGCTCTGTCTCCAGCAGCCTAGCTCCATCTCAGGTATCTTGCATGATTTCCTCTCGCTTCTCTCGGTTTTTATTTTTCTTTGTTAATTTCATTACTAATTGAAATAGTGAATATCTTTCCTTTTGAATTTTGGTGCGATTGATTTGCAATTTGGTGTGAATAAAAACAGTACTGCTTTGTCAAGTTGCTCCCATAATAAATCTGTGAAATTGTGTAATTGTTAGTTTGTTAAATTATTAGGCTCACATGGTGTGGTTGATTGCTGCAATTTATGAAACAATTGTTATTTTTCTGTTTGTAGGATATCATGAATACTAGTGGTTCTGGCAATGGCACAGGAGACTCTATTGGATCCACTCCTTCTAAAACAGATGATCCTGCTTGGGCTCATTGTTTGATTGTCCCAGGCAGAAGGAATCAGACTAAATGCTTATATTGTGATAAGCTCATATTAGGGGGTGGAATTACTAGATTGAAAGAGCATCTTGCCAGAATCAAAGGCAATGTCGGTGCTTGCAAAAAAGTTTCAGCAGATGTGAAGTGGCAAATGCAACAGTTGTTAAGTGAGATAAGGAAAGGGAAAGAAAAGAGACAGAGACTTGGGGATATGGTTGGGAGTCAATGTGATTCACAAATATTTGTTGATGAAGATGATGAAATTGAAGAAAGCCATCGATCTCAATCACATGTAGCACAACAGAAAAAAAATATTAATTCATATTTCGTACCAAGGACAACTCATGGAGCCCAGAAAACCATAAAAAATGCTTTGCAATCAAGAGAAAAACAAGAAGCTGCTAGGATGGCTATTGCTAGATGGTGGTATGATGCTAATGTGCCTTTCCATGCTACACATTCAAAATACTACTTGCCAATGTGGGATGCTGTCACATCTATGGGACCTGGTTTCAAGGGACCGAGTTACCATGATTTGAGAGGTTCTCTCTTAAAATGTGTAGTAAAGGAAGTTAATGAATGGCTCTTATCTTTGAAGTCAATATGGAGTACCAATGGTTGTTCAATTATGGCAGATGGATGGACAAATTAAAGACAGCAACCAATAATTAATTTCCTTGTTTATTGTCCTAGAGGAAGCATGTTTTTGAAGTCTGTTGACACTTCTGGTTTGACAAAAGATGCTGATACATTGGAGAGGATGTTTGATGAAGTGGTGAAAGAAGTGGGAGTGGAAAATGTGGTACAATTTATAACAGACAATGATGCTTCATTCAAAGCTGCTGGGAAAAGGTTGGAAGCAAAGCACAGCACATTTTTTTGGTCTCCTTGTGCTGCCCATTGTATTGACTTGATGTTAGAAAATTTTTCTGATGCAAGATACTTTCCTATAGTTGATACTACTATAGGAAAGGCAAGAAAAATCACAAAGTTCATATATAATCATTCATGGGTGCTAGCATTGATGAGGAGGGACTACACAAATGGGAGAGATTTGTGTCGTCCTGCTGTTACAAGATTTGCTACCCATTTTTTGAGCATCCAATGTTTATTGAAATTCAAGAAGGAGCTTAGGCAAATGTTTACAAGTGATGCATGGGTTGGTTCTAGGTATGCAAGAAGTAGTGTTGGGAAAGAAGTATGTGAAATTGTCTTGGAAGATAGAGAATTTTGGTCTAATTGCATATTGATTGTCAAAATCAGTGAGCCTTTGGTGAGAGTGCTTCGACTTGTGGACAATGAAGAGAAGCCGAGTATGGGCTACTTGTATGAGGCAATAGATAAGGCAAAGGAGACAATAAAAAAGAATTTTAATAATAGGTTGTCTCAATACATGCCTTACATTAAGGTGATTGATGCTAGATGGGATAAGCAACTTTATAGCCCATTACATTCAGCTGGATGCTTTCTTAATCCGGGTATCTACTTTAGGCCTGGTTTTAACAAACAAACTGCTGTTACAAGAGGTTTGCTTAATACCTTAACAACATTGATACCGGATGAGGAGAAGCAAGATCTCATTAGTTCACAACTTGAGGAGTATAAGAAAGTTACAGGAACCTTTGGCATGAGTTTGGCTATTCGTCAAAGGGAAAAGTTAAATCCAGGTAATTTTCTTTCATCTTAGCTTTCTTTTTAGTTTATTTTAAAAAAATTTACTTTATTTATTTTAATGCACATTGTATTTTATTGTTTTTATAGTTGCATGGTGGGATCAATTTGGAACGGATACACCAGAATTGCAAAAGTTTGCAATTCGAGTGCTTAGCCAATGCACAAGTGCAACTGGATGTGAAAGGAATTGGAGTGCTTTTGACTTTGTTCATTCTAAGAAGAGGAATAGGCTAGAGCATGAAAGGTTGAATGCCCTTGTGTTTGTTCGTTATAACTTGAAGCTTCGAGAAAGGTATAATCTCTTAAAATTATAGTTGCTTTAGTTTTTGCATATAACTTAGCTTTCATTTTTAACTTAGCTTAAAAGTATTATAATATTATAATTTTTGTTTGTTTATAGAATTATTTGTAGAAGCAAAGAAGCAATGGATCCTCTTAGTCTAGAAAATATTGATATATTAGCTGATTGGGTGGCTGAGGAACCAGCTCTTCTTGACAAAGATGATTGTGATGTGGATTGGGCAGCTATTGATGAGTCTTTGCCAAATCAAAGTCTTGATACTGATAATGTTGTTTATGATGAGGAAGATATCCCACAGATTCCTGAAAATGAAAATGAAAATGAACAACTTTGGGTTGGGATTGATGGAGTTACAGGTTATGGAATTCCTCCAAATGAGGATCCTCATAATTATGTTCAAGATATTTAGTAATGTTTTGAAATTAATTGTGTTGTTTATTTTTAATTTT